TATATATATGAACAAAATGTATGGAGGTGCATGATCATCTAATCCTGCCAATAACAACACAAGATACATATACCAGTAGAGAAGGCTGCTTACCTCACTCTAGTGATAATTTTTCCGGCATACCCTCCGCCACTCCATCTCAACCTTTATGTCCATTTTACTAATTTGTCCAGGGGTGCTTAGAGTTTAAGCCAAGCTTGGTAAGCCAAATATGTTTAACTTTATCGCACTGGAAGGTTATAAATGACCATGTCATGTGACATGTCATTTGGATCTAAATTAAAAAGCAATATAAATTGGAATGTTATCAGACCCTAAACAGAACATATGATCTGACAGAGAAATTGAGACACAAAGCAAAGACAGATTTTTTCAAATGCAGGCTCCGTGATCATAGTCCAGCAAAGAAAAGAGCAGACACCAAAAAAACATGGCTTTTAAAAGGAAGAAAGAGTCTGTGAGACTTCTAAAGTTAAAGGACACTTTGTACTTCTTGGTTTAAATCTCAAACCTCTTTCTACACATTTCCATTTGTGTGTTTCAGTTAAAGCGTGTGTGGTGTCTGTGTGTTTGTATTCCTATGACAGAGACAGAGGGGTGCTCTGGGACAGTATAGCCACCAGGGCTTGTTTACAGCTCAGGCTCCCATATATGGCTGCTGCACAGCTTCATGGCATTTTTGGAATGACTGAGAGGGAAGTGTGTGGAACAGAGAGAGAGAGAGAGAGGTGACTGTGACACTTGGTCAGAGTGACTCACAAAAGAGAGCAACTCAGATTAATGAACTAGATATCTGTCCCTGTCAATGGTGAGCAGTGCTATATACACTTCTTGGAATCAGGACTGAATTTGAATTAGATTTTCCATTGGGCTTGAAAGTAGGTAAGTCTTAAAGAGGAAGTAGCCTCATTCAAAGTAATCTACTCATTCTCAAAGCATGTACTGTATCTGTGCGAGTTCAATTACTAGGTGTGATTTTTATGTTCTGCTACTGTGTATCTTTTTTGTGGATTTTAAAAGATAATTTTGTCAGATTTTTCTGCAAAATGTTCAGTATTTGTAAATCTAGAAGTGAGTTCTGAACTAAACAGTACTTGCTGAAATTACCATCAATAATTTCTGAATCTCATTTGATACTGTGTTACAATTTGGACATTGAGAAAATTCAGCTCTTCATCTATTTGTTGGATCTGTTCTTGAATCTAAGACTAAAATCTCGGTAATCTAAAAACGGCTTTTACATGTGTTCAGTTCCTCTAGTTTAAATATGCTAGCTTTTATTAAAACCTAAGACAAAGATTAAAAAAGATTACTGTACAGTACAGTACCTTTTTAGTGGAAGATATTTTATATGTTGTTTGTGCTCCTTAAAGCACTTTAGCCAGTGTGATTACAGATTTAAAGGGTCTTGTCACAGGTATGGTAAAATTTTGACAATCACCTGTGATATGTTTTGAGATACTTTTTTTGTCCCACCTCTTTTCTGAGATAATGATTTTTAGTGACGTTTTTTTTGTTTTTCTGTAGGCCTTTTCTATTATTTTTTAAAGCTATGCAAGTATGTTTTTACAGTGCATTACTGTCATGTTAACTTTTATGAATTCAAAAATCTGAGCTCACATTGAATAGACAACACAGAAAGTTTCACAATTTTGAAGCATTTAAAGCAAATAAATGTTATGAGGTAAATAAATGTCAATAAAGATAAATATTTAATAATTTATTTACTAGATCATTATTTCTCTGTCACTTAACAAATGTAAGCAAATGTCCTTTGCAAAAGACATATTTGCTTCCACTGAAGGACACAAGATGCTATATTGGAATATTCTCTAATCATGCTAAGATAGCATGGACCATCAGGTTTGGCATTATCTTATTCATGCAAGTTTGAGTGCATACTGTAAATGCAAATAATTCTGAAATTCATATAGTTTTATGTGTTTTTCCAAGTACTTTTTGGACCCCAACTGGACGCTGTTTGGGGCTGGGGCTTTAGCTGCTCCGTATCACAACCTTCTTAAAAATCAGCTATTAAGTCAGCTGTGAGCACCTGTAAAATCTGTAATTATCATAAGCAGAGCTAGGGGTGGGCCAGAGGGGTGCTGGACCCAGCAGAAAATTTGACTGCAATTCCCTGTCCTGTGTTTGTTTGTGTTTGTATTTGTATTTGTATTTGTATTTGTGTTTGTGTTTGTGTGTGTGTGTGTGTGTGTGTGTGTGTGTGTGTGTGTGTGATGATAGGATGTTATGCTGAATGTGAATGAGCTGTGCTGTTTTACTGAGCAGCAGCTGGATCGCTATGTGACTTCATGTTGAATATAGCCCACCCCCACCCCATCTGTTTTAACTCTTACAGTGTCTTGTCTCTTGGGCTTTCTCATGTCATTGCCATTTCTGTCAGCTTACCATTTAATTTCTGTGAATTGTCATAATACACTCACCCCTCATGTACAGTATGTCTGTCTATCTGTCTGTCTGTCTGTCTGTCTGTCAGTTAGCCATTCTGTATTTCTGCCTAGCTGTCTACATGTCTACACTCTAAAAAATGCTGGGTTGTTTCAACCCAACTTCGGGACAAATATGGATTAACCCAACTTTTGGGTTAAAAATGTAATGTAAAAATTTAACCCAGTGTTTGAGTTAGTCCATATTTGACCCAAAGTTGGGTTTAAACACCCCAGCATTTTTTAGAGTATACTTCCCACCTCAAATTCTTTTTTCAACCTCTCCCTGGTTTTTTTTTTCCTCTTTGTCCTTCTGTTATTTATTAGAATATACTTATCTTTCACTCTCTTTTTATAAATGTTGCCAGTATAACATGATCATGGTATGTTGAACTGCAGTGGCCCTCTGCCTCTTCTCTCTCTTGACCAACACTTTGGCATTATTTACCCATGATATCATTCCCTTGGCCCTAACCTAATGCCATGGCTGTTGCTAGACAGACTTAGTAAAACTTGGTCATCATCATGGCAAGTAGGTTTGTGCATATTTTCTGAACCCCAAACAACAAACATTCATTAGTTGCACAATACTACTTAGGTTCTTAACATGTCATTTTCCAGTTCATAGCATACGCTTCTTTACCAAGGCAGTGTGCCAATTACCAGGGCTGGGAGAACACACTGATGATTGGGCAATTGTGGAATCTTAAATAAAGTATAAATATAAATAAATGTTATAGTTGCTATTTCATTTGCCTGGGCTCAAACCTGCAACCTTGTTTCTAGTCTATTAGCCCATTAGACCTCCACTATCAATGATTTATAATTAATATAACCTAATTTTAAAGTAAAATAATAAATAAATACATTTCATTTAAATTAAATATACAATTAATTATTGTAACGTAGTTGATGGAAGAAGAAATTGTGGGTCTAATCACAGTGAATTTTACAAAAACACAAGACTCAATACAATACAAAAACAAGAGTATGGTTGAAGGTGTACAGCACGGTAGTGCAAAATTTTCATTTATGAGTCCGACATAGCTATGTTTAATAAATTATCTAGAAAACAGCAATGATTGGGTCGGTGGGGTGGAGCTGAGAATCATTGGCATAGTGAATGAGATTTTATATTTGTGGCAGATAGAATCCAGAGGGAACAAACCATGTAAAGAGAGAACAATAGAGGCCCTAAGATGGTTCCCTAGGGAACACCACATGTGATAGTCACAGATGATGAGAAAAAATTGTCCATATTAATAGAAAATGTCCTCTATAATTTATACCAGTCAGAGAGCTAGAGACTGAAAACCTGCCTACATCATTCCAGTCGTTAAGATGGATTTCAAAAGACTATAAATCAACATAGAACTGCCAGCTAGACAGCAAAGGAAATCAGTAATTACTGCCATCATCACTTTAGTTAATTTAAGGCAGACTTTAAAATTATTCTTACAATTTAATTAGTAACAGTTTTAATATTGGTTTGGTAGCATATTGAAAAAAAATTAATCATACCATTTATTCAAAAAACACATAGCAGTTACACTTTATTTTACAGTACATGTACTTACCCAAGACAGTACTGGGTAGTATAAGGTAACTACATGGGTTAAGGTTAGGTTAGGGAGTAAGTTCAGGGTTAGTACCTATAGTTATTACCCAGTAATTGTAATTGCTATAATAAGTACATAGTATGTACACACAGAACAGGACTGTAAAATAAAGTGATACCCACATTACTTGTATAACACATACTATATAATTATATCATATTTAGCATTATGTTAGAGTTAGAGTTATACTTTTGTCCTTTGCAGGAAATGTGTCTTGGACTCAAAGCTGCAGCAGGACACAACAACCACACAAAACAGCAACAACAACAATATTTGTTAGTTAAAATACCACCATTATTACTGCAATTTACTATTATAAATCCTAATAGATACAGGTTTAAAATAATTCTTATAGCGATTATTTACATTTCTATCATGACAAATCTCTGAATAGTTTAACATTAATGACAGTATTAATGTATTTGGTCTTGGCTGAATGTATTTGGTCTTGGCTGAGTAATTATGGAGACTTGCTACTGCCAGTACATACACAGACACACTGCTAGGTACATGTAAGACATACTGCTGCTGCACAAATAGCATACATGAAATTATCCATAACAGATCTATAGTGGTGGAGGTGGGGAAGGTTAAGGATTTTGTGCTGCAAGACTTAACCAAACTATTAAAATGTTGAGCTGCGTTGCTGCAGATGGAACAGAGACAAATCTGCTTGTGTCATGTAGTGAATAATGTGAGAGCAGCAGATTGCGTTAAGGACCTATTAGCCTGCACAATCTAGAGTTTCATCACAGAACTAGACGTTCATTTTAATGACATGAGGATGAGCTCCCCTATCTCAGTTTTGTTTCTCTCAAAGATTTTTCTCTCTACAACCTTTCTGTTGCATTTAAAAACTACAGATTGTGAAAAGTTCTATACAAATAAAACTTGACTTAAAGACTTAAAGAGGCAAACCACTTTAATTAAAAATAGAAAAGAAAAAGACTAAGACAAAAGAAAAAAGAGCAAAATCAAATTTGTGGCTTTCATCAAAACAGTATTTATAAATGCAAAAATAAAAATATGACTTTTAAGTTCAGTTGCTGCCTTACATTTTTAAGTTTAATCAAATAGAATTAAGTTGAAAATGGTTCAATTAATTTGATGAGTTAAAGTAATGGAAAACATATGTTGACATGACTTGATTGTCATTTTGTAGAGCATACACATGAAACACACAAGACATTCAACCACATTTCCATTAGCCAACTGGAAATTTCATCCACTAAATCTTCACTGGAAGAGAATGAAAATATATGTTTTACGTTATCTATGTTAAAGCAGAAGCTTTCAAACTACAAAAAAAAAAATATAATAATAATATATATTTTTTAGATTGAAGGACTTTTTTTGAAGGACTTGAACATTTTGAAGGGCTGTGTGTGAGTGAATGAATTTGAGTGAGTGAAAAATCCATTATTTCATAGATTTTTTGTTAATAACTAATTAAATTTGGACTCCATTGTCAAAGCTATTGTATGACTTCAGATAAGGTACTGAATGTAGAGGATGTGTTGTACATACCATTTTAAGAATATTGCACAATAAAGAATGTATAGGTTAAATGGCATTTCATAAGGGTCAGCAAATGATAGCATAAGTTTCATTTTTGAGTAAACTGGATTAGAGAAAACTTAATAAGTTATAATATAGAGTTATTCTATAATATTCCTGAGACATTTTTATAACCTCTTTTTCAGATTTTGCTCAAGGTCCAGTAGACTGCAGCCTTTACTTCCGGGTTCAGAAGAAAGACTCCCTTGAGGGAATTGTGTCTGCCAATGGTGCTTATTCAACTGACCGTGCTCCTCCTGTAGTTGAACATGCACTTCCTCTTCCGGTTGCCAACCATCCACTACCAGCTGCAGACCACGCCCTTTCTGTCAGCAGTGACTCAGGAAACTCTACTGCTTCTGTTAAGACAGACCGCACAGATGATGCTCAACAGTCTTTGTCATCCTCAGGGCCTGTGAGCCAAGCTCCCCCCGAGACTGCAATTAGCCCTTGTGAGAACCGAGAGTTGGAACAGCTTCTGAGTGGGTCAGAGGGACCACCACTTCTCCCTCATCAGAATTTCCTCTCTTTTGCCAACACAAGCCCAGGGGTTGGAGTGCGGCACCTTGTGCCTGCCCAGGTCCACGTTAACGGACAAGCAGGTGCTGAGCAAGAAACTGACATTATTGAGTACGAGTTACCAGAAAGCCAAGTGGGAGATAACAGTGCAGGCAGTCTTGGCACATTCTCCTCTTTTGAGGGTCAAAATACACCAGCTGACAGCAAACCAGTCTCTGAGTCCACCGTAGTAGAAGTAGACAGGCAACGTGGGAATTTCCTAGAGCGGAGGCCTAAAAAGGAGATGCCTGTGCACCAGCTTCGAGGGTCATCATCAGCACATGGACTGATAGAGTACAGTGGGCAGAACGAAGGAATGTATCGCTCACAGTCATATGGTGGCCTGATGCTGGATGGAGGACTTCGGTACTTGCCACAAGCTCCTGAACGTAACACCAGTAGCCGAGATGCAGTGCAACGAGGGCTCAGTGCTTGGCATCAATATGGTCTTGTGGATGACCCCTTCTTTGGCTCAGATAGTGCCCTTCCGAACTTCCCAACTCGTGGAGGTGGATCACAGCAGGATCTAGAACAGTCTATAGATGCCCTAAGCATGCTCATGCTTGACTTGGAGCCTTCACATACACCATTTCCCAAATCTCAGAGTGCTCCCGCAGGTGAGAACATCTCAGCTTTCCAACCACCCTTTGCCCAGACACTAGTCAGACCTTCCTACCAGGCTGACCAGGCCATCTATAGTGTCACTGGTGGCCCACCTCTCTCTTCCTCTGCCAGTTTTGGACAGTCCTCACAAAGATCATCACCTGCTTACCCAATGACTCCACTATCTGAGCATCATCAGAGGGGTTACCAGTCCCCTCAGGCCCTTTCACCTATCTATCAGCAAGATCCCTACAGTATCCGTGGAGGTTCAGTCACAACACCATCCCCAACTTTATCCCTCCCATCTCCAATCAAGCCCCAGTATGTCTACCCAGGAAGCAGAGAGGTGTCTTACTCTCCAGACCTTCAGGGTACATTCCCAGGCCCTCAAAAAAGCTACAGCACATCGTCATCCCCACTCCCCTCAGTTACCATTGTAAAAGAACCTGAGCCAAAGTCTGAGGAGGAGATCCTAAACCTTGAGGGACTTGTCGCCCACCGTGTGGCAGGTGAGGAAGAAGGAAATTGTGGTCTGAGTGCATGGCTTTTGCTGCATATATAAGATGACTGAAACTGAAAAAGTTTCCACTAAAATCTGTAAAAAAATCTATAGATTATGTGATGCATTTTTTTGGTTTTGCTTTTGTATTTTTGAGAAAACTATAAAAAATTGACAAAAAAATTATAAGCTGAAGCTGGCATGGATTTATTATGGTTCATTATTAAAGTTTGTAAGCGACAGCTTGATGGATAATCAGGATATGACTCTACCAGCCTCATTTTGATGGCATTATAGCGTGCCGTTTAGTTTAGCCTGTTTCTGGCTTCATTTATCAGTCTCATACAAAGTGCAGCATCTAATATTAAGCCATATTTGACAAAAAAAGAAAAGACAATGCACCAAGCCCTGGTAACCTAATGGAGCCATAGTAATGTGAACAAGTTTGCTCATATCTTGATTTAGTCCTGTAGATCAAACATACACATTGGGAAAAGTCCCTGCAAGTATGTCCCACTGCATAGATAAACAATGAAGACATGTTCTAATACTGAACTATAAATGTGACCTAAACACTAAAGATTGATGAAAGAGGATTGTAAAGGTGTCATCACATCTCATGTTGATATAGAGTATTCTTGGCAGACACTCACATTGTCCGCTGTGTAGGAGTGAATAGCTGCAGAGATGTAAGTCACCATTGACCAGAATAGACCTTACCACACTGTGCTTCAGCTACCATGCATTCTCTGGCTTGAACAGCAGATTATTGATATTACAGGAAAATACATAGGAGCACCACTCTCTGGCAGTGAATGGAATTGCTCGAACAGGATTTCTATCAAACATATTCTAATGAGACTGTTGTGTCTCTAGTGCTTAGTAGACCACTATATCATTCTGGGAATTTGATTATTTACTCACATGGAAAGTCATGTACAATTATACAAACATATTCTTGTAAACAGTACAGTTTGTAATGTAGCACTGTATTTTAAAGAAATATGTTGACACCCAGAAAGTAGGATTCATATTCACCCTTCCTTCATTCTTCTTGTTTTTCCCCCCATTTCTGTCTATCTCTGCTTTGGTATATGGATCACCCCTCACACCACTGATTCCCAACCTGCACCTTTATACTCCTCCTCTTCTTCTGCTTCAACCCATTCCATCATTCCTCAACCCAGAGTACAACGCCCGCATCCGGGGCATCTCAAAGAGCATGTCCTTCCAGCCCGAACATCATCGTTCCTATTCCTTTTCTGGTTTGTCCCCTCTCACACCTCCACTTCTCCACTTCCTCCACTCCTTTCTGTTCTCTTTCTACATCTCTGTTATCTTATTTTGCCTGTTTCTTTGGGGTTTCTTTATATGAAATTGTTAAAGGGCCAATTGCTGAATGTATGCAGGAAAATATAGTGAACCTTTAAGTGTCAAACATTTTGTTATAATTATTATTAGGAGTCAGAGTCATTATTTTGTTTATTGGGTCATTATTATTGGGATCCCAGTTCAAAGTCATCAATAATACCACATATTGGGGTATAACTTCTAAACCATACTGTATGTCACAGATTATTTCAATTTTATAGCACTGTAATCCTTAGGTCATGCTGAACACAAATTTTTATATGATTTCATGACCGTCTAGAAGTCTTTCACCATATTGGATTTTGGCAAGAACTTTTGTTACCTATTTTTCTTGGTCGTTTGCACTGAACTGAATAAAAATGATGTAGGAAGAGTCTCAATATCAATAATTATCACAAACATGTTAAAGTTTAAATTCAACATGGATTTTAATAATTTTCCTTTTAATTAAATGACTATAACTTTTGAATGCAACCAGCTATTATCACAAATGTACACATACTGTATGTAAGACCTGAATCTGAGGAGGTTTCAGTCATCAAAAACATACTGTAGCCACTAGAGACCAATGAATGATGCAGGGCCTGACCTATTTTAGTAAAACAGCTATAATTATTGATATAATCCTTAATCTAATGACACTTAAGCTATTTGGCTGAAAAGTTAAAATTGTACCCTCCTGACACATGAACTTCATTTGCTTTAAGAACTTTTTCCATGTTCTTTAGGAACACATTCGCGTACAGTAACCCCAGATGAAGCCATGCCAACTATGCGCCGACGAACCACCAGTGAAAGCCAGTACCTCAGCAGCCAAAATGACAGTGCAGCCCACAGGGTGTGCTCTCCACTGAAACCTGTCTCTCCAGACTTTGCCAACACAATTGCAATGAACCCAGGTGGACAACCCAAGGAGGTATATAATAAGGGATAAATTGTGGAGATAGATGTTTCACGTTATCATTTCATTTAACATTGTAATGTTTTAAATAAGTTATTGTAAAGTGTTTTTACTTCTCTTAGTTGTATTACTGTATATAGCATGTATTGGGTATTGTTATACATTACACTTTAATATTTTGTTATCCTATATGTTTCCCTTTCAGAAAACTGTGCATAGCTACAGGGAGGCCTTTGAGGAGATGGAATCAGCTCCTTTTAATCCTACCCACAGTAGTGCTGGTGAGACACATCCCCTGACATCTACCTTTCCTGTATCACCCAAAACCTTGCCACAGACCCCCTAGTTTAACCTGTGCAAGTTTAGCCTCCCTGCATAAAGAGTGTTCACTGTTCAGTCGTAATTTAAATCATAACGATTCAAATCATTGCTGTGTTAATATACAACAAAAATACATATTATGAACAGTTACAATTCTGTCATGACATTAGGTAAGAAAAGTAAAGCTAAATCGAATGAATTTGCATTGAATGCAGAACTTGCATAGAATGTTTACAAATAACTATTATATGCTGTGACAGGGCAGGCTGCAGGTGAAAAACTATTTTGTGGCAAGGTTAGGCTGAACTCATAATGCTTTAATGCCTTACCCTGACTTGATTGATTGATTGATTGATTGATTGATTGTTCAGCATGTTTAGAGATGTGAGGAGCATTCCATAGTCTGTGACAGTAATAACTGATGTTGTAACTACCTTTCATATTAGTTAAATACTTTACATGTGTATATTGTAAGTTGTTTAGCTCCTTCTCACAAAGCTAGTGATTTAAGAGAAATAAGACTTAAAGTCACTTATATTTCATATTATTAGCACTTTTAAAGTTAATTTCTGTGTTTTTAAAGTGTCCTTTTTGTGGCTTTTGAACGCTTGAACCTAACAATTAAAGGATTTTTATTTAAATAGGCCGTTCTGGTCAGGCCGCTCTTTCAGCCACAGGACTGAAGGCACAGAACCCTACAGAAGCTCTGGTACAACAAAGCAGTTCAGGTGAGTACCTGTAAAACCCGTTTGGTCCACTGTCCACTTACATATATTTTCCAATTTTGTCATCATTTAATAAGTAGACTGCTTGGTTTATTAACCATTACATGGCCAGTAGTGTTCAGAAATACCCCTCTGCCCCACCCCTCTCATCCATCTACAGTGCTAATTTCTGTCACTGTCCTCCTGCTGTTCATTCCCATCACATGTACACTGTTATTATTCTCTTCCCCTTTTAAAAAAAACTGTCATTGCTCCTCTTTCTCTTTTTATGCCTGCTGCTATCAGATTCTGATTCTAGTGATGATATAGAAGGTAAGAGTATTTTGAAATGACAGTGGAAAACCTTTCCATGAATGCTACACTCTCCTTCCTGCACACATTCACTCCTGTTAACTCCTGCAAACCCTCTTGTATATGTGGGTTTTTTAAAACTTGTATTTCATTATTATAGTGTCAACAATATTGTGCCAAAAGGCTCTGCTCTGTAACTCGAAGTTTTTTGCTATTTTAAAGTCATATTTTAATGTTATGTGGAATAAAATTATACTTAGCTTTCCAAGGTCAGCCATATTGCCTGCCCGCCATTTTAAATTTTGTTGAAAACATACAATTTTGAACTCATCCTAGAGCTTTCATTACATCATCCCAAAATTTGTGTCATATAATGTTGCGGCAGTGGCAGTGCAAAGTCATTCACAGCTCTTTTTTTTCTTATTTCTTATAGAGCAACATGGTTTTGTGGGAAAAGGAGACAGAGGAGGAGGATTGATTTCTCCTTTGCAGTATCAATACTCTCCTGCTTTTGAAAGACCAGTTGCTCCTGCCCACAGTTTCAACCCACCTCAAGCAGTTAACAATGCTAGTTCTGATAGGTAAGTGTTATCTGAACACTGTCCCTTTTTTTCAAATTTAACATATATGTATGTAATGTATTTGTCTGATTGAATGTATATGATTAATTTTATATGATTAATTTTATATTTTATATGACGTGCTGAAATCGCATTTGGTCTCGTACTGTATCGCGTACCTTGTCAGTGTCGTGCGCTTTGCTTGGCCATTTGTTGTGATAAACAGGAAAGTGTGTTCAAGCGCCAGCAAAACACAGTGTAAAGAAATACTCTTTGAGAGAAGCAGTCAATCAGCAGAAGTTAAAAGCAGCTCGTTAGTGTATTTATTTATTTTCTCAGTGTTTAGTGCAGTTGTCGTTGCTAGGAAATGCTTGTTTTGTTTACTGTGTGGAGACGTGCTGAAATCGCATTTGGTCTCGTACTGTATCGCGTACCTTGTCAGTATCGTGTGCTTTGCTTGGCCATTTTGTTGTGATAAACAGGAAAGTGTGTTCAAGTGCCAGCAAAACAGTGTAAAGAAATACTCTTTGTGAGAAGCAGTCAATCAGCAGAAGTTTAAAGCAGCTTAGCTTTGTAACGAATCAGCTCATGAGGAAATATGAATAATTAACCATAAATATTTATAATTAATTATTCATATTTTAGATCCGCTGTAGATATTTAGCTGACCTCTCAGGGTCAACTGTCTTGTCAATTCTAAGAACGTTAGTTTCCTGGTTAAGGGAAATAACTTTCTTACTGTACAATTCTACAAAAGCTTGTAGCATAAATCTGCATGATTAAGTGACTCCAGTTATGAGCAAACAATGAACAACGTCAAGTGTGATACAAGTAAGGTTTTATTAACTACATAAACACTTAAACTAGTCTAACATACTACATAAACACATAAACTGGTCTAACATACACATACACACACACACACACACA